AAGAGAATAATTACTGGTCTTATATCTGTGCGACCTCATAATATCTATTTAATAAAAACCAAACCCAATGTCAAGCCTAGAGGCAGTGACTGTAATAAGAGCAGCGCAGAATTTAAAATAAAAATCTGAATAGTCTCCAAAGCAGGGAGGGGATAAGAACCCTAAGGAATTAGACTACTGAATGATACAGCACAAATACATTAGCAAAGCAAGTACTTAAATACTGTCACATTAAATAAAACCGAGTTTCAATGACTGCCTAATACAGATTTAACTTCCTCCTACCTGAAACTGCAACTCGCTAAAACAAAATTAATTAAAATTTAAAGAGAGCTACTCATCAGTAACGAGGGAGCAATTAAGAAGACACTGAAAAAATCAGAGGCAGTATCTAACTCTGGAAAACACCTCAAATATATTCCACAACCTATACACTTTTTTTATATAGGAAATGCAATTGTATTAGAAAATACATTCCTCCAAAGCTTCAATGATCACTTCCTAAATTCTTTATATGACCTTGTTTAAACAGTATCGTTCACTCTTTCATCTTCTCTTATCCTTCCCAGTGGCACGTAATAACAAATAAAAACTGAGAGATTATACTTCAGATGGGCAGGTAGGGATGGATTTACAACTTCATTCAATGCTTAGAGGGAGATTTTCCAGAGGCTTAAACACAGCCAGTCAATACAGACTAGCAAACATGAGTAATTGTGTTACAATTCCAGTATTTCAGCAGCACCGGCATATAATGATGCTGTGCCGTACTACATGGCCTGAAGAGATACCACTGTTTTCAACTGTTTTAACAGGTCAGAGTACCTCTCTACATTTATTACACAGATTTTGCTTTTATGCAACTACTGAAGCCCAACTAAACACTTTAATGTGTGTAATTAAAGGAGAAATGAGGAGAAGACAAAACACTACAGTAAGCATTACCAGAAGTCTTGTGAGTACCTTTGCATACAGCTAACGGTTTCACTGCGTTCCCTTCTCAGGATGCCATTCTCAAAGCCAGAAAAAGTCAGACAACTGATAATGACTGTACAGGTAAGGAAGAGTCAGTTTGTTTTAACTCAAAGTATTCAGAAACAAATTATACTGCCCATTGAGCTGGAAAGTATGATTATATAATTTAAACAATGCCTCCATATTGTCTGTTTCACTCATTCTCAGTGATTAAATTCTGTTTTATTTTTTCTAGACAGGTACCACATATTTCAGGGTACTTATCTGACAACCAGTGCATTGGCATTCCAGTCCTGTGGGGTACCTTGGCATAAACACAACACAAATCCTTAAAACCCTGAACCATATGAATGTAAAACTTCTCCTAAATATACTGTGATTAATTTAGTCTCAAGTACATGAGACAGAGCTCTAGAATTTTGCAAGGAAACTTGAGTATCTCTACAGAAATGCAGTCAATCCGTATAAAGGATAAGTGGATCTATAGTTAACGCAAAGCAAAGCAGGAATCAGTGAGCACACCATTAAATTCTGAAAAGTTAGTCTTAACTGCACAATGACTATTTACACTTTCATATTTTCTTCTAGGCATATGAGGTTCACCTGTCCTTCAGCTGAAAGAAAAGAGATGCATACAAGAGGATCTGTGCACTTGCTTTGGTCACTGGTTTTATTTCTTGTGTCTTTCACGTATTCCCTTCTTTCCATCTTTGAACTAGACATGCTCGAACGCTCAATCTCCATTTGTGGTGGCAGACTGAAATGTCACTGCCTGTCTGCCTACAGAGAATCCCTGCCAGTGCCAATTACTGTTCCAGAAGTACATTCGCTGATGCTTGGTTGCCCTGATTCCTGCATACCCACTACCTCTTTGTTGGAGAGGAATAAGGCAGGAACAAGTGACAAGAAGAGCAAAACCAGACACCAGAACCGACACCAAATCAGAACCATGTATCATACAACAGCTAAGGTCGCAAAGCACAAAATATTTAGAAAGTAAAGCACAATAAACTGGACCAAGAGTCTGCTCTGATTACAGAAGCACTCAGTGTGTACCAACAGAGATAAACTAATCTCCATGTCTACTTTCTAAACCCTGCTGTGTGGTTTATAACTACGTGACCTACATAGATTTTGCTTTCTGCAAGCAACTACATCATTAAGTATGACATTTGAAATCTGAGTGGAGGGATAAAAATAAAGAAAATCTTTATTAAGTTTCCTTTTCCTTTCATGCCTAACCTTGATTTAATAGGAAAACAGGCCGGCATTTTGTTGTTATTATCCTCTACTAATACTTTATTTTAGGAGGGGAAAAAGTAAAACAGTTAAAGAAGAGACTTGCGAAAGGCAGTAACTGACAACTACTCTTCAGAAAGATTTTAACACTGCATCTCAAGATAACACTCTCATAACTATCTAAATTGCATTTGTACCATTGAGTGCAGCAGTTCAGATTAACACACTGACAGCTCGATCAGCAAACACAGCGTTTGAAAGATTTGTGCAGAAAACACAGAACTGATATAAACAGTCTGAAATATCAGGCTATTTATTACAAATATGAATTTAAAGCAAGTTAAACAACTAAAATATCAGTGTGTTATCAACATTCTTCTCAGCACAAATCCAAACATAGCCTCATACTAGCTACTTATGAAGAAAATCAACTGAATTTACTGAGGGGACTAACTGTGCAGCAATCTAGTGCTAGGTGAGCTCATCTTCTATTGAATTAAAAAAAACCATATATCTCCAAGTCGATAAAATAATAAGAGGCCTGGGGGCTACAGAGTACTGAATTAAGTCAAAGAGAAGCAGGCATTTACAGATGTCAGTATACAAAAGTTGCTGTGCTTGTTTTATGTTAATATCCTGCAATAAAAAAAAAAGTAGTAGCTAAGTACGACTGATGCTGATGAATTGGGGGTAACTTGTCAATCACGTGACAGTGTACTGCGTTTGCACAAAAGTAGCAGAAGCACAAACTTTCCTTTGTGCTCTTCATATTGACAGTGGTTGGTAGCACCATAACAATGGACCTGAAAAGTGCTCAGCTGCCAACATGACAAGCGATAGGACAGGCAGACAGAAGACATCACTTCATACATCAGCGCAAGCTAATGAAACAGAACCTGCTACTCAAGACTGCGTGACAATGCTGACTCTCCTTGCCCATCACAGTCCATAAACCAAAGGCAGAATGCCCCCCTGTGCAGAACTACAGAAATCCAAATATTAATTAAGAGGATAAAATCGGTTCCCAAGTGTAACTTTCAAGGGAAAGCTCTGTAGAGACTGAAAACTTGCTCAACATTGTACTGTTGTTTATCATTCAATGAGTCTGAGCTCAGCAGGTCCTTTTCAATTTCTCTATGAATCAAACAGTCACAAGATTCTGATGTATTTCAGGAAAACTATCTCTGTGGAGCTCGCCAGGAGAAGCCTCTACTACAGATGAGATGATCCACATTAACTGTCTTCTCACTTGACTGCATGGCAGTCTTGGAAAACCGGTAATAGAAAGATAAATGCTGAGGATGAGTCAGGAGCTCCTAACATTGACTCATCACTGCTGTGAATGAGCTGTATAATTAAGAATAGCCCAAAAATGATCTTAGGTCATGATTTCCTGTGATATATGGACAGTTTGAGGATTCTTGTATGCAAATGCAATGACATGAAAGACCAAGGCAGGAGGATCTCCCTGGCTCATCAGTCTCACAGGTGACCTACAAAACTTCTGAGTTTGTTCACTTTTCACATACATACAGACTGAGGAAGATTCCCCTTCTGTTTCAATTATTTTTTGCTCAACTACAGCTTTCTTGCTCTTTTTTTTTTTTTAAAAATATAGTATCTTTGACCTACTTTTTAGAAAGATTTAAGCAGGACTTGCATCCCACCATCTGCTCTCACAGTTGCTTGCAAAACCAGTACATGCAAACAGCATCCATCCTTCCTTCCTTCCTCCCTTCCCCTCTCCTCCTCCATACACTACATCATTGTGTTGGCTAAAGCTGCTCCATCGTTCTTGCCAAAATTGGTGCCCTGCTGCCTCCCTCAGCTTGGGAAAGGAACTAAAACATGGCAAACAAGTAATTCAATAATTAACACAACTAAATAACAGTGGGAAAAACATTTCACACAATAAATTCTGAAGTCATGTTTATTCTGGAGGGAAAAAAAACCCCACTCCTAGTACCTGTAGAGATGGAGAGAAAAGAGAAAAACTAAGCAATCCAGTAAAATGCCAAGGATTACAGTTAAAGTGTGGATATATTTTTTAATGTATTTATCCAGATCTTGTGATAATGCCTCACTAGGATAATGCCACTAAGCCAGAAGCAATGCCATGCATGTTATAGGAGACAAACTGCTTTCCAAGAAAGCATAAAAGAGAAAATTTTTACTTAATTACCTGGCTAACTAAGCCAGGCTAATTACCTGGCTTAACTTTAATAGCTTGTATATAAAATTTAAGTCTAGTTAAAAGTTTACATTCCCTTTCGAAAGAAACAAGAATTATACCCTCTACTAAAGTTACTGAACTCACCGGCATGAGCTTTGATGACAGATTTGTCTTGCTTAATGCCAGCTTCTTTATTTTTCAGATCAATCTGTTTTCCCATGACATCTCTTTCTATAGCTGCAGGATCCACTACGTCAGACTGCTCATCTACAGTGGAAAAAAAGGTAGCTTTGAAAATACATCGGAAAGAAAGCAGGACTGCAAAAAAACAAAGTGGGAGGCAAATCCTCCACTTGAATATGAGTTTTCCCTGTTGAGGGAAAAGAAACCCCAAGCCACAGGGCTATACAGATGATATCAGTGATTTCAGGGTGAAATGCTGAGCAAGCTTCCGTCCCAAAGCACCTCATATTGCTCATTTCTAATCACCCCACTAAATGACCATATAGGATACACTGAGAAAAACAGAGACTGCTGCTTAGAGCTTATTGACACATCCAATTTGATCTGTAATGCTAACTTAACCTCAAATCTACCTCCTCCCTCATTCAGCCCCATCACTTATTTTCAGGCTCTTCATTTGTGTCAGTACAAGTGCTCTTGGGAGCTTAGGTGAACTGCCTCAAGGTATTGATCCAAGTGAAAAATAATGTGGAGTAAGGGAAATAAAAACACTTGTATCAGCTCCCTGTTCTCTAGCTTGCTCCAGTACAACTCTAGTTCTACAGAAATTGAGGAAACAGCAAAGATGTGAAAGCAAATAGCTGAGAAAAAACAAAAGACTTAAGAGGTCTGAAAAGTCACTGCCACTGACAGCAAGATGCATACAGCATGGCCCCAGTTCAAAATACTGAGCACACTCAGGAAGCACCTGACTTCTCTACTCCTCTACTCTGTTTTCAGGGTACCAACAGCAAATTCAGTGGGCTTATACAAGAAAATAATCTATCCCTATGGGGACACCTGCACGACAGGTTTTCTATAGTTTTTATTATTTATATATGCTGTTCTCAGAAAGAGATATACCACAGCACATCAATTTCACTAAATATTTTTCTATTAATTATTCCCTAGTTTCTCATTTAACTGCTAGTATTCAAAAGACTTCATAATTTTATGAAACATTAACCTTGCAAAGATAAAATTGGTAACACTTATTAAAAACACCTCCATGCACACAGCAAGGTTCCTCCTAGCATGTGCTCCTTGATGCCAGAAGTAAGGATTTAAACAGTTAGACATGGACTGATTTAAAAATGCTTGCTATATCTGCAGAAAAAAAAGGTTTATTAAAGCCTATCATTTGTAAAAAACAAAAACTATAAGCAAAACTGTTAAATCTATTACACACGATTCACTTATATCAATGTAGCATGAATTGACACCATTATCCCTTTCCTCAGATTTTTGAAGCATTGCTATCTAATGCTATATTATGTGCTACAATAAACAGGGTTTACATTCACACATATATATATCTGACAACAAGTTTTGTTCTGTATTGTTGGGATTTTATGCCTAAACAGTATTTTTAAAGGATTCCTAATGATAATGCTGCTGGTTATTACTGCAGGGTGAAAACAAAAAAATCAAAAAAACAACCCACAGTAAAATGTTGGAAGGATGAAGGACAGAAGGAACATCTCTACTAGACCTGTCTATAGAAGGAAAAAAACAGCTTGCCAATTTTTAAGTATAGACAAGCTTAATTATACATTGGTATAAACCAGCTGGTCAATAGGAGCTGAGCAGAATCAGGTTACAAGAGTAACAACTAACAGACATCAAAATATATCTTAAATCTCGACTACTCTAAAAAAGTATTAAAGGTGTTGTAGCTGATCTTCAAAGTTATAATGTTAATATATGCTGACTTACTAAAGAGAGATTTAAAAAAATATATTAATCTCTTCAAGTACTCACAACACTTACCAAACCAAACTTGGAGAAAAGGAGAATGTAGAAAAAAGACAGAGAACCCCACAGAGACAGAAGAAAACCTAACAAGGCATTAAGGCAATTAGCTTATGTCCTGCTGCCTGCTTCTTTTTCACTCATCACTATCACTAGTTACTATCTGGCCCTCTTAAGTATTTCAAGTCCCAGAACTTTCCACGTGCCCTTGGAAAAATTATTTTATGGCCCAGCTACTTTTCATACATGGTAACTCAGTCAAGATATCTTGCAGTATTTTTTTAACATGCCAACAGAATTTCAGGATCACAAGATTACTCAGAAAGGGTTTCCATGGCCAAATCACAGCCTTCTGCATGTAGCTGTCAGCAAATCCTGAGAGAGCAAAACACTGATCTAGTCAGCATACCAAGATTCTGTTGCTTTGCACAGCAAGAACACAGTACATAATTTTTATATTTTTATTTTTGCCGATTCAAGCCTACGCTGCACTGATTTAATGCTGTGCAAGACTGGTCTCAAGCACAGTAAGCTCTGCATACCTGCATGGTTTTCGCCTGCCAACCATGACATGCTTTCCAACGTATCTCACACAACAGATCCCTTTAAATCCTCTGTGGAACAATACAGTTCAGATGGTTCACTCTCTTACTGACAGCAGGCTTCTTCCTCCTCACCAAAGGACTCAAAGGTAACTTCTGAATAGTCCAAATCAGAGCTGCTGTAACTCTGGCTCAATTCTGTCCACCACTTTTCATAGTTACCAGAGCTAACAGCTGAGGTAGTCGTCACAGCACTGCAAACAAAACAAAAGCATGTAACAGCTTCAATCATACAGGAAGAATGATTGGATTACTTATAGCAATGGGGAACATATGGAGGAATACTACAGCTCAGCTCACACCCTAGTTACCACACAAGTGGATCAAATAACTACTCAATGAGCGCACTGGATCAAGGCAACATCCTTTCAAAGCACTACTGCTGATCAAAGTAACACATCTTCAAAATCTTCTGGGTATGCACATAATAACAGTTACCACTGAACACTAGCAATGAATTCTGAGCAGCATTCCTTTCAAATTTGTAAGACAGTTTGAATTACAGTAACACTTGGATAAAATCATTCATGAAAACAACAACAAAATTGAAAATAATCTTTTTGCCTTCATATTATTAAGCCTCTCACCACCCAGAAATACAAAACCTCCTTGTTCTGCTTAGAATTCATCTGGAAAAACAAAATATAAGAAGAATCAGCCAAATTATGCTCTCCAATGAGAAGTCATGCTCCCAATGTGAAAAAAAGAAATAAAGTCCTCCAGATTCAAGCACGAGGAACAAAACAAATCTCACACAGTTACCTATCATGTAACGGATATATTTTAAAGCTCTGTTCTTACTTGTTCTACCCTTTCTTAGAATGATGCAATACTTTTCTTCCTTTGAATTTAAGGACCTAAATAACTTTGTCCTGAATAATTTTGCTCCAATTTCTTCCCTACTCCCACAAACTAAGGATAGTAGATGTATGGGCAACACCTCTCTGGAAAGATGCTTGCAGCACTCAAAAGATGGAAACCCCAATGTGACAACAGCAGGTAGACAAAGGCACTTTCTGCCATGCCCGAACTTGGTGTTTGTTCTGGGGTTTAGGCAACTTCATTTTAAAGGCACTGACTTTGGCCATTTCCCCACTGAACATACTATGCTGCCTGTTTTACACGACACATTACTGCCAGCGTCTTTCTGGGCACTACGTAGAGAATCTGTGCCCCTAGAACAAACTTAGGTCTTCCTTCCCAAAGCTAGACTTCCAAAACTAATCTGTAGTGCCACACTTCTAGGTTGAAAGGTTTTCTTTTTGTTCTAACATGGTCACAAAAATTAAAGAATTGTTCTGATTTAAACTTGAAATATTAATAAACACTAAGTAATTATTTTGTTCATTACATCACCACTCATTCAGGCCAGAGATGAGTTATTAAGATCAAGTCTACTGGAGAAAAACAACAGGAACTGCAAACAGTCAATTAGTTCTCCAGCCCACAGCTGACCTAAGAAGTTGTAGCTCCACAAGCAGCACGTGGATGGTTAAGAGGATGAATTTCAGCAAGTAACACAACTGGCTGAAACAGAAATGCTTCAGAATATCAGATATGTCTGATATTAGCTAATTTTCACTGAAAAAATACGTATTTGTGACACCAGCAGATAAATAACTTAGAAGCCATAAGTATACTTATAAACAGCAATAAAACAGACAACTTTAAAATTGCATCTGCTGTCATACAGCTTTTATGCCTCATGAGGCTGAGGTAATATCGGCCTTAACAGACTGTCCGAAAGCAAGCTCAGTGCTTCAGTAAGGGCTCTAAAAGAGAAGCCACGGAACTGTTGGAATTGCTTTTCTACGAGTCACTCTGTCTCACAGACACAGTGACAAAACCTTCACTCTCCACTAGGAAGGGGTTGCTGTGATAAAATGTCACTGAAAACGGTAAGCATGTTAGAAGAAAAACTGAGGGTAAGAAACTCCATCCTCCCAGTAGGAAAAAAACGTGGTTGGAACACTTCCCACTCACGAAAAACCTGAACTTCCACCAAGAAACAGCCCATGAAGAAACCCTCCTCCATGCACTTTCGAGTTAAAACCCAAAGGCAACAGAGGCAGCTTGTTCTTCTGTTTGCGGTTTGTTGTTTTTAATTTCACAATCCTACATTTCCAGGCTGAAAACATAAATTTTTCAGAACTATTTAACAAACACTTTAACTGACAAATTCCTCTTCAGAAAGCCCTAACACCAACCAGATGCTCAGGCTCCTACCACACTGCCAGCCCCATCGGGCCTTCCCACAACCTCAGAGGCCTGATCCCAGGGACGAGCCCCCTCAGAACATCAACTTGCCCAGCTGTGACCAAGAGTTTTGCTCTCAAGGCCGGTAACGTGTCACACAGAAGGGACCCGGATCCGCGTCTGGCCTTCTCCAGGCCCCTGCTCCCCCTCAAACCCCACTGACACCCGGCTCCCTCCCCTCAGGCCCGCTT